CCTTAGCTAAAACTATTATTTATAAAACATACTGTAAAAAATTATATAAACTTAATAACAAACTGTTTATTAAATTTTCATTCTTGATTACACACAACATTTTCACTATCAAAACATTTCCACAACTGTGATTTTTATTAACGTGTGGTTTTTATTTTTTCCCACTTATTATTTCAGGAACTTATTATTTTTCCTGAAATGCACTGAAAGATAATCCGTTTTTATTGGTATGAGAACGAGAGAGAGAAAGAGACAGGAAGAGAGAAGAAAGGATACCAAAGCTATCATGCGGGAAGCTAAGCAGCGGAGGAGGTCTATTCTACGAGAGGAAGTTTAGTTACCTGTGCTAGCTGGAGCAGTGGAGCCAGGACCACAGCAGCTGTAGCCTAGTAAGTGTAACTCAACAATACGATTAACAACACTGCGACAATCTCACTCGCTAACAAAACAAACAAGCTACATGACTAAGCCCCAAGCAATAGTATGTTTAAATAACTAGTGGAAACCACAATAATATAATTATGGTTTTTAGGCTTTGAGATACTTTGAATTTGAATTTTGATTGAAAAGTTAAATATCTTAATCAGTTATTTATTTTATTTTTATCATGGATTGTGGATTTGTCTCGTGATGGATATAATTTTCAAATAAAGGGGGAAAAAAACCTTTCTGTGTTACTATCTGAGCAATCTGTATAACGTAACTATAGTTGTTTAGTGTTGTGCTGAGCACTTGATGTTATAACCTGAAGATGTGCTTTATTTTGAGAACATTAATCAGCTTGATGTCCTTAACTAAAGATGGATATTTTGGACCAATAATCCTACTACTATTATTATGATTAATTATAAACCAGCTTTTGGCGTATGAACCTGTTTTATGCTCAAAACTAAAGATGCTCAATTTTGGATTCACCACAAAGCAACTGTAGTTAAATTAAAGTGTGCTTTACTTAGAAATGATAAATTATAATGAAAGTTAAGGGTTGATTTCTATATAAATTATTGTGTCAGAATCTAATCGTGTTATAGAAAAAGCTAAACTACCCAGAACTAACCTTGTGCAACCTGATGGATATTTTTTCATACGGTAGAAGATCAACAATTGAAGAATGGTTGACAATTTGGTTTGGTATAAAAACCATGCAAAAGTTTTAATGAAAAAGTTCAGATTTAAAATTGGAAATCTCTTTGTAAAATATTAAACGTTTTTAACTTATACAATTGAAAAAAGTAATGCAAAAAAACAAGAATAACACTACAAAAAAGCATTAAGCATAAATATTGTGAAGTGTCTTACAATTGGTATTTGTATGAACCTAAGACATAACCACTTTGACGTTTATACTTTGCATAACGAAAGCTTAGGATATTAAAACACAAATGTTATTACATAATCTTTAATTCATTACAGTTTTATCAATAGCACAGTAAAGAATTATCCTTAACTTTGTACAAGTATTTAATACTGTACAATTTAATTGTAGTTAAACTCTTACATTTCAAACATTCATTATTATTTTATAAAATTAACATGATTCACTCAAAGAGCAACAACATTCACAAGAACATCTGATGCGATTATCTACACATTGAAGACTTTGGAACATTCACCCCCAAACAAACACTCTCATTCATGACGTCTTATTGTCACCTAACTATACCTAACAGGGTAGAGTATAAAATATAAACTAACGTTTTAATTTAAATAAACAGCCCACTTATTTTGATTTTTAATCAAAAGTTCATTGGTTTCAATGTTTGTGAGGATTGCAAAATAAAATCAAAATTTAAATTTCTTTAAAAACATGAAGCATAACTTGATGATTTTAATATATTTTAAAACCAGAATATATTTCATGAAACCAATAACATTGTAATCATCAAGTAACAAGCGAGAATATCTTTAAAGAAGGTTATTATAAAACACAAACTAAAAAGATTACTATAGTTAGTACCCAGAAATAACTAATAACACATTAATCAAGACTACAAACTCAACGTTGAAGGTACTTGTGAAAAATAAATGGTGGTTAAATTATAATAAGTACAACCATGCAAACAACAAATAATGAGAATAAGCACTCAAAGGTGTGTGGCAATAAAAACGGATTGATCTTCATAAGTGGAAACTTAAAATAACTGTGAAAAAACTGTTGTCAGTGAAAAAAACATGCTTAATCTATCATAGACATGCGATATACCTCGTTACAACTTGTACTAAAGATGTCATTATATACTAAATATGTAGTCAAACATGGAAACAGAACGAATTAATCTATTAAGCTTAATTTTATTTTTGTGTTTATGAGAAATCTACAGTTTAAAATTGACAATTACTTAATACAATCTTAAACCCCCGATTATTTGGGACACTTAAAATGTATCCATATTTTGATTATATGGTCACAGATATTTACTTACACATATACAGTTGGGTCCCTTGAAAACGTTGAGAAAAAATGTAACAATACTGCTTTCAGATAATAAAAAAAAGATTTATAAATAAATAGTAAAAAGTTCAAGTACTTATAAAAACACTATTGGTTATGATGAAAATATGGAACATGTAACTACTTTAAATCTTTAATTTATTATTAGAATCTTAATAAGTTGTAATATGAGGATGTTTTAGTTGATTAAAAGTTGAATATACAGTTTGAAAATAAGTAAAAAAAACTGGTATTTATTTTAATTATCTTCTTTGTTAAAATTATTACATGTCTTTTTTTTGTTTAAAAGTTTTTGTACAGAAGAAACAGGTGTAAGTTAGTTATTGATATGGTAAATAAGTCTTTTCTAAAAATGAGACAATAAAGTGAGCTTGTAAAAATTATAAACGCATAGAGTACATCGATGGCAGTTTCATAAAATTATAAAAAATAATATCCTCCCTAATACTATATAAAACATTAAAACATCTATAAATTAAGTATAATACTTTGTCAGAAAGTCTAAAGCGTTGTACAAAAGTTCAATTCTTTAAGAATCATTTACATATCTTGGTTGTTCATAAGTTGTAGTATAGACATTGTAAAACAAATCTTATATAGATCACTAACCTAACACACTGCCGAACATTTCCTAGAATCGGCTTCAGTTCAAACAACTTAGAAACACCAAAATACTGGATATATGATACCAAACCACTGTTTAGTCCCAACAGATGAGACGGAATGATATGTTAAAAGTTCAAAACAAAAAATCACAGACAGCGGAATTAATTAATGTCTGAGACAAAGAAGTGAGGAAACTAAAAGCAGAGGATGCAAAATCGAGGGCAAATCCTGGGTTGAAGAGCTGTTCTCGAGTGGTTCTCCATAAATGGCAGAATCTATCAGAGGAAAACATTTATGTATTTTCAAAATATATTGTACGTCTCAATACATTTTGTATAGTTTTATTTAAAAGGATAGGGAGTTTAGCTAATCAAACTGAGACAATTGTATATTGAGATTGAGATTAATATACTGAACGTTGAAAAAGTTATCGTTGATGTAATATTGTTGTGACAAATGATGTTTTTTACTACTGGTAACTCAAAAACACACATTTTATAAAATCTTACACTTGGTCCAGATGTTGAAATCAAACATTGAGTAAAATTTGGGAGAAAAGTTATAACAGTGTAGATGAAAAATATGAAATATCAATTTATCTAATATATACAATTTTTTTAAAAGAAACAAAATATCACTTAAAATGTTTTAAGCAAACACAACCATACTCATTGGGCTTGTCAAAACCTTTTCTGCTACACTATAGCACCTGCATTGAAATTTTATGCAAAACTTTAGAAGTCTAGAAGCTCAGAAATCTACAATGGTCGGATTGTATAAAAAGTTGGTTAAAACAGGCAACTTTGTAGGATACAATAAAAATAATGTTTTTTTAAATATTACATAAATGAAAATGGATCATCTATAAATGGTTGGTTTTGGAATGTTTTCTTAAGTGTACTGTTCTCAAGTAACATTAGAGCTATGATAATTGATCAAGTACTTACATATCCGTATTTAATTGTACTGTAGAAAGACATTCTATCGATAAATATCCACACAAGTGATTGAAATAATTCTATCTAGGCCTACCTCTTTAATCATAATATACAAAGTTTCTTAAAAAGTCAGCTTTTAATTTTTCTGTATGGATTTCTTTGTGGTTCATAACAAAACTAGACTTGCATGTACAGTACACATTGTTACTGCAATAAGACTAAGAATGGAGACCACTATATTCCAAGAAAAGATCGTTTAAACCAACCAGTTAAAAAATTTAAGGCAGTAAAACCGATCTTTATTTTTTTCCAAGTAGGGTTGGGTAAAATGAGCAATAATTGATCCAGGGGTCAGTTTTTAAGAGAAGGTCTAATGAACTCATAATTGGACAAGTAAATCATATTTTTGTTCTGTGTCAACAAATGATGCTACAATAGTAGGGACACATTTCGGGAGTGATGACAAGAATGATCTGTGACATGATGTAACTACTAAACTAGTCCATATTAGATACCATGAGTGAAGCCATTGATATTTAAATACTGAAGTAGACATTCAATCTATTTGAACCAGTAGTAACCCAATAGAACATAGTTGAATGTGTCATAGAGAGCGCTACTTACAAAATTCAATTTTATCTTTTAGTTTTGGGTACTAATAATTTAAAAGGTGGTATAATAAGTTCTCGTTTTAATTTGGCTTGGTTAAAACATTTGCATACTCGACAGAAATCAATAATTGGCATCAGCACGCTCTGTGGGTGGCTCAATTCAACTACAACCCATTTTCTAAAAATAGCAACAACTTTCACATAGGTTAAGCATAATTCCACCAATAGTCACAGATGAAACAAACTAAAAGTTTTGGAAAAAAACAATTTATAATAGTGGCTTTAGATTGACCAGCCGTTGTAGAAATTTGCAATTCTCGACCAATGTATTAAATATGTCCTACAAAAATAATTTTAGTCTAATTTCTACTACTTTAGGCTGGCTGTACTCACCTCTAGCAGTCTTGACTACGAGTTGACCAGGAACACTGAACCCGATGATGTTATGTGCTCGGATCTCTACTTTGTAGAAGGTGTCCGAGTGGAGACCTCTCAGTTCGTACGATGCCACTTCCAATGATCTGTGTTCCACAATCACACATGGTTCCTCTGTCTCCACCCACTCATTGCTCACTTTCTGTACCTAGGGGGAGAGTTGATGGGTTAATGATTGTTTCAAGAGAAACTATCCAAATTATTATCAAAATTCCTGGAATTACATATAAGGAAACAACTGATATGGAGAACACAAATATTTGAATCATTTCAGATTTTTAGGTGGTACTTAATAATAGTGAAATAGTTTTTGACTACAATATTATCGTATCACTCAAATCAGTATCGTAATAGCACCAGTCGATTTGTAATCAAATATAGTCAGGTTGGGTAGCAGGAAAATATTTCAGTTCTGGCAGACAGGCTGCAATTTTAGGTGGTTATAGTATACAAGTTTCTGAACCTAAAACCGCCCAGACCCCAATTTTTAAGGACCTCAGTCGTCCGTAATGACGTCATCAAAATGGCGGCCGTAAGAGGATGTTGAGTCCCCATGAATTGGCTATAATGACCGAATGCCTGAACCGATTTTCATGAAATTTGGCACACAAGTGCTTGAATACATTATCTCAGCCTGGGTTGAAAATTGTTAAGTTTCATCAAGTCATTTCAAAATGGCGTCCATTCAAAACTAAAAAAAATATGAGGAAAATAATTGTGAATTGTTTTATACAGGGTGAGTTGTAAATGAGTTCCCCTCCCTACTTTTTTATACATTTCTTAAGATATCAACTCCGAACCACGTCAGATAATTGTAGAGTAGCGATTACTTCATTTCGACTAGTTTTTATCTTATCCGTTTTTTGTTATCAAGCTTTCTTGATAAAATATAACAATTATTTTGATTTAAAAAATGTCAATATTTCAAAAACCAAACATGACAATGAAAAACGGATTGCGGCATTGAATTTAACATAAAAAAGTAGTTCAAAATGATGGGTCACAACACCCGCCTTCATATTTAAAATAATTTATCACATTTCAAAATGACGGATCCATGATGGCGGCTGAAAAAAATACATCCGTCATAACCGAGTGAAAATAGGTCAACAATGAATGGTGGTGTCCACTTATCTTTATCTAGCACTACTTTGAGATTATGGCCTTAGTTTGTAAATGCACAATGTTATAATGGACTAAAATAAAGTTATAAAAAAGTTCTCATAACTTTAAAATGGATCAAAATTTTTTTAAATGGATTGCAGCATCGTATTCAGCGTAAAGGTTTTGTTTGAAACGGTGGGTCACAACCCTATCTTTACATTTGAAAAAAATATTTTTGTATCTAAAATGGCGGATCCAAGATGGCGGCCAAAAATGTAAACCCAGTCAAAATGAAGTACTTGCTACTCTACAATGATCTGACATGGTTCAAAGTTGATATCTTAAGAAATGTATAAAAAAGTAGGGGGGGGGGGAACTCATTTAAAACTCACCCTGTATAAAACAATTCACAATTATTTTCCTCATAATTTTTTTTAGTTTTGAATACCCGCCATTTTGAAATGACTTGATGAACTTGACCATTTTCAACCCAGGCCGAGATAATGTATTCAAGCACTTGCGTGCCAAATTTCATGAAAATCGGTTCAGGCATTCGGTCACGTTATAGCCAATTCATGGGGACCCAGCATCCTCTTACGGCCGCCATTTTGATGACGTCATTACGGACGACCGAGGACCTAAAAAATTGGGGTCTGGGCGGTTTTAGGTTCAGAAACTTGTACTATGACCACCTAAAATTGCAGCCTGTCTGCCAGAACTGAAATATTCTGCCACTATATGCAGCTATACGACCCCACTAATAAGGTCCTTTGTTGTTTGGTCAATGCATTCTTTGAAGTGGTACATTGTTACACAAATTAAGATAGCATGAATATATAATTTAAAATAATAGTATTTAAATGCAAGAAGCTACACTCAATACATTTTGTAAAACTAACAATAATACTCAACCTGTTAGTGCATCAAAGTTTCTGAATACAATATTGATAAAATATTAAATCCAATTTTTAAATTGAGAACCATGATAAATAACTCAATAAGACAATCTTACCTGGCAGTATTTGATGTCATATCTGTCAATAGGCTCTCCGTTATCAGCTGGTATTCTCCAAGCAAGTTCATATTTGTTGTGGTAAGGACTAACGATGTATTTTTCTTCTCCAAGAGTAGGATGAAGGATTTTCGGTTCTTCAGGGAAAGATCTCTTTGGCATAACCACTGTTTGTTGGGCGGCCCAATTGCTCATTCCAACATCATTAATCGCTGCGAACCTGAAGACATAAGTTGTTTGTGGTGCCAGGCCCTCGAGAATGTATGGGGATCCTGAAACATGAAAGCATAAAAATGTACTGAGTGGGAGAAACTCTATTGGAACGTGGTCAATTCAAGTAACAGTATTTTATAAGCCACTTTCAATGTCCAGGCCTTTTAGTAAGAACTGTTGAATGTAGTTTTCACCTCAAACTTAGCAAAAGAACTCAGTACAAACCCAGAGTAAGTAATCAAATAAGTGAATGTTTTTTTTCACCAGAGGACATGATCAGATTCCAGATCCCGAAACGTTGTGTATTGTTTTTTACCATTCTGATGGAAAATGCCAGAAACAAAACATTGAACAACATTAACTCACCATCACCAACAATGAACTTCAAACAAAGAAAATAACTCTATTAATACTTTATTTGTAGAGAAAATTGAGAAAAACCATTTATAAGAATTTTTACGGTAGTAGTCTATGCTTCAGTTCTGGTTATTGTAAAAAGATGTACATTTGTACACATACTATTGAGTTGTACCATTGATTATTGGATACTGAAGATGTTACTAATACAACTTCAAAGGTCAAAGGTTGTACACACAAATCTATGGGAAGGAGGGAATATGACCAATTTCAGGGTAGAGTGTTTGCTTTATATCTCTGTCAAACTTAGAAACTGCAACTGTATACACTCATGACCTTCCTAAACACAACTACATAGCATAATTTACAAACCAGCCTTTTTCAATAAAACTTGTGTTTGTAAAACCTATAATGTAAAGAAGTTCTAACCATAAGCCCAGGTCTTGTTCCTTGCTTCCGTCCATTGTTGGTACTCTCCTTTGTACTGCACCTGGAACGCTTTGATAGGACGCCCTCCGTTAGATGAAGGACCCTTGAAGGAGAATGTGATCGTTGTAGCTGGAACAATAAATAAATATTGTAGCAGACTCCCTTTTAAACCATGAGTAAATGACATTTGATTCCCAAAGATAATCATCTATGAACTACCATATACAACAGATAAAATGAACATTAATTGTAATCCTCAAGCTGTTAGGGAGAGCTGGAGTACCTAATGAAAACAATTGTCATAATTTATAGCAGGGATGTCTAATTAAACCCCCATAGATACTTCTTACAAAGTGGTTTATATAAAATACAAAAATTTGTGTTATTTTTACAGTGTTAGCAAAACGGGAGTGCCGATGGAGACTAGGTCAAGTCCCTTCACACACACGCACCCCCACAGGTCTCCATCGGCACTCCCGTTTTGCTAACACTGTAACTTTGTATGCTCAGAAACATAGAGGATGTTTTAGTCGAGTCTATTAAGCTATGTAAGTTGAACACCCCTGTTCTATGGATCCAATGAATCAAAATATCTTTTCAAAGTAGGTATTTTGTTAAATGCAAAAAATACCAAGAGAACTATTTATTCTTGTGAAACACATACATTTGTGTCAAATTACAGTGTGTGTCATAATTATGTTAGGACTATTTGTTGCTTCACCTGTTATGACGTCTAGTATTGCTTGAAGTATTTGTCCAGGAGCAGTAGCTTCTGTAAGCTTTATTGTATGCCAGACCTCTCCATGAACGTTTCTTGCAGTGCATTTATAGACACCGTAGTACTTCAAATCTACTGGAGTTACCTGTGAAATTACAAAACAATGCAATCAACCGGAAATTCCTTCTGGAAATAAAATACTTCTATCTAATAAAGATTGTAACAGCAGCCGTTAAAATATTTCACCCACTGTGAAATTTATAAATTTACCTGACCGCATAAAAACTCAACTGTATTCCTATAGAACAATAATTGAATATGCTTTGTTGATCAAAACTATCGGAACTCTTAAAATCAATAAGGAAAATTGCACAAAACAGTAGCACAAGGGTAGTTTTTTTGAGTTGATGAGCAGGACTATATTGCTGGTTTCAGACAGACTGTTACACTATCCTACCACTGCAGTCACCCCTGGCTTGTCCATGTAACTTAGACTGCAAAAGGTAAACTAACTAAGCACCATCAAAGACTTATTTTTGTTAACAAAAAAATTTGTGTTAGTTAAAATTGATTACTGTTATCAATTTAACACAAATTTAATGCACTTTTTTAAATCATTGTTTTTTTGCTTACCAGTAGAGAGCTCCAAGGGCCATTGCCGAACTTTTTAAAGTTGGGATCTCTCTCGATGTCTCTCTCGTTGAGTTTCCACGTTATGGTCGCATTGGGTATGGACTCGGCTAGACAGGTCAGGTTGACGGGAAGTCTGTTCCACGACCACGCTTCCTTGATCGGTGTGTTGTCAAAGTTTGGAGGAAACTCCACTGTCAAGTGACCGTTCTTTCTCGACTCACCACCCTGCAAGATGAAATTTTGATTGTAGAACATTATTTAGGGTATGGGTAGCTTCAACAGAAGTTTTTTTTACAAATTGCAACTTTGGATTTAAGTTTATCGTATAGATTTTATTTTTAGAATAATAATTAACATATTTTGGTAATGGAGAAAAGTGGATAAGAAATGTTAGAAAATACTCGGAACCAAAATTAAGTAATGTACAATTCAAAAAATCAAATGCAAGAAAGAATTTTGGAAACAAATTTAAAATTTCATCTTTTTACGGAAAAATTAAACTCCTAGTGTCATGACAAAATGGAGAGAGGAAAGTATCACTTAGTTATCATTTTGAAAGAATACAGTATTTAAAAAGTGATTGTTAAATTAAATAAAAAACAAGATGTTAAAAATGGTGAGTATCTTTCACTTGTAAGCTTTACTTCTAATAATAATATATTACTGTGTGCCTGAATTTTTTTTAGAGGAAACTTAAATAAATAAATCATTGTTGAAATGATTTATTCAATCCCCCTTACTCGTTTATATTTTCATTCAACTACATGGTTAGAAGTTACAGCATAGAGTTTATTCATTGGTCTTGCGATCATTGGGTCAAATAGATGGTTTTGACTAAACAAATATTAATCTTAGTCAGGAACAAAACTACAACAAATCAACCCTTCTCTTATGATAGGATTAAAATATGCCAAGTTACATACCTAGACAAGACTATTTTGTCCTATTACTGACCTTGTTTCTTGCTATGCAGTTGTATAGTCCGTCATCAGGTCGGGTGAGCTCGTCAATGATGAGGTGAGCCTCGGTAATTCCGTCGCTTCCAACACGATTCTCTACGACTATCCTTGGGTCTGCGGGCTGGGATCCTTTGACCATCTCTAGAGGAGCTCCAATCTTCCTGTGGTTTGAAAGTAACAAATTAAATTTACAATACATTTCACTAAGAACAAGGCACAAGGCTAAACAAAGAGTTTAATTCGTTAGGGCCAAGAGATTTTGTTTGGTTTAGCCTTTATCCTGACTGTTTTCATCTTATAGATACACAGATATAAAATCTTTACAAACAAGATTTCAGTGAACAAACATAAAGTAAGTATAAGTAAAAATTGGCAATGTTTGACCAGAAACTCACAAGAATCCAAACCTTTATTTTTCAAAATTGACCAGCCCTGGTTTTTTTAGGTTTACCGTTCACACCAAGCTTTGCTATAGACAACTCCTAAAGAGTTGTGAACCAGACTTGACTTAGACAAGATTCAAATCCTTGATTTACAGCACTATCTCTTGGCTCGTGGCTAAGATAGAGAAGGTGACTGAAGTAGAAAGAAAAATATTTTAGAAGTAAACTAAGAGAACATATCCATGTGAATTAATTACCAGAAGGTGATGGAAGGCTCTGGGTTACCAGTAGCTCTACAGACAAGTCTAGCTCGACTCCTGATTGGCAGAGTGATGTTCTTGATGTCCATCACTTGAGGCTTAATGACCACCACCAGGTTGACGACTCGCTCCATCGAGCCTGCCGCGTTGGCAGCCATACATCTGATCTCACCGTTGTCCTCTTTCGATACTCGTGTTATTGTCAGTACACCTGATAACATTCGTTTGTATTATAATATGCTTAAGTTTTGTACTGCTCTTGCTAATTTAAATGTAAAAATGGTGATGGAAAGGTTCAAAATGGCAATGGAAATTATTTGATTGGAAAATGATTGATATAGAGACGACAATGGAGAACTTTCCTGGATGTCTTATGCTCCCATTGGATTGAAAGGAATAAAATCAATTAAGTCAAGTCTAAGAAGATATATACTAAAAAATTGAGCTCAATTAATTATCAAATATTTAGCCTGTTTTCCAAATTTAGATCTGTTGCTAGTAGGAGTCTCAATCCCGGGCTAAAAATTTAAAATAATAAAATAATATAATCCCGGGATTGATCCTGGGATCGGCTAAGAGAAATCCCAAAATCCCAGGATTGGATTGAAGGCCCGGGATTGAGACCCCTAGTTGCTATCCTAGTATTTGGTGTCTTGCAATTCGGTGTAAGGGGGATTTGTTCGATATTGGCAAACACACAAAATTACAAGGTATTTGCACCACTCTCACCTAAAAGCAAAGGTTTTAAAAAGTGTTGACTCCAGGAATATTTGTTCTACGCCAGAAACAGGAATATTGTTCTACAAGAATATTTACATACATTATTAAAACAAAAGGCAACTAAAATATAAAATATAATGAAAATTGTTTAACTTAATTACAAATTTTATTTTGCATCCAAAAGAGAACAGCAATAATTTAATTTGAAAGGCATCTGGACTCTAATAATTTTAGCGGAAAATAACAATCAAAATGCTAAATAAAACATTAGGCTACCTGTGTTCTCATTGACGGTTGACCGGCCACTGCTAGCCAGGTTGAGATCGTTGTCGGATCTTATCCAAGAGTAGTGAGGTTTGGGTTTGCCTCTGGCCATACAAGTAACACTGGCAGACTCTCCCTCTACAACCTCCACAGTAGTGGGCATCTTGTCATCAAACGATGGCGGAATGTGAACCTGTAGACAAACACAACGTCTAAAACATAGCTGCTAAAGACAACATTATGCTTACTCTAAATAGATAGGGATAGTGCTAGCCTTGTAATTAGGTAGCTCTTTCAATCTTAAGAGGGTGTAGGCTTGTCCACAAAGAAACTGTAAATGTTCTTAGGAAACAGATCATTTAAGAAAAGGACATGTCTTAACTAATGTAATGGTTCAACACTCACATAGCTGCATGGGTTTTTTAGTAGACTTTGGATAGAGAATTACTTGGTCTTAGTGAATATGGTTTTCATACAAGTTATTTCAAAACTCCTAAAAATATTTCAGTTCTTTTCCAATGACAAAAGATGTTTTTACAAAAGTTTCTTGATAAAACTCAAATAAAACTCCCCCAAGAATTTGATTTTGTCAATGCTATACAATGAGTTTGCCAGTTAAGAGTATCTTGTCTGATGTGCCATTGGTTTGGTATACATTTCAATAATGTCTTCTGACTTACAGATTTTTCCTTTAAAACATTCACAGCAAAAGTATACAATTGGAGAATATGATACAGAAATAATTACAATTAATTCATTTTAATGTGAATTCACAATTATCTTCTGACATACAATTCTGCTTTGTGATGCTATCATCTTTTACCAAAGAAACACGAGACAATCTTAGCCTCTGAATGTTCTTATCACATTAACACTTCATCTATCTTCTCGCTTCAAAGATATTTAATTTATGAAGGCCTTTTAACAGTGCTTTGTTACTTAGCAGAACCCTTCTTGGAGATTAATTCTGATCATTAGTTAAAATCATCTTTCAAATTCCCTTTATCAAACTTCAAAGACATTTTAAGCACACATACCTCACACACTGCAAGTGTTTTTTAACTACTTCATAGCAACTTTTCTGTAAAATCACAAAACATATCTACAAACAGTGTGTAATATAACATTGGTAATTTAGAACTAAATGTCTAAATATGAATAGTCCTAATCAACCTTTTTTAAGATTTCAAGTTTATGAATGCATTTTTGTGTTTAGTAGGCCTATTGCTTTAGTGCATTGATGTTGACGTTGATTGATGTTGAATGAATTTTTCCTTTCAATAGCAAGGTAAACAAGACTAAAAAATCACACCACTCATTCTTCACTTACCTCCATTCATACTTGGCTTAAAATACCTACTATTGTATGGTCCCTATTTCAGATAAAAGTATTAAAGTAAATATAATCTTACCCAAGTAGCACACATCGTTGGCCCAACGTTGGGAAATGGTCGGCACGGTTGGGAAATGGTTGGCAGAAATTTTAACGATTTGCCAACGTTGGCCCAACGGAAACTGGTATTCGTTGGCCCTACAAAGGAAAGAATCGTTGGGCCTTCGTTGGGCATTCGTTGGGTTTAAGTATAAAACATTCTAAAACAAATTTTAACAAATTGATTTATTTAAAAGTACATTAATGTTATGGCAGCAGAATACAAGACAAATATTGTAAAAATTTGGATCAATAATGAATGTAGTCAGATGATGTTGTGATACTAGATACAGTGGGGAACACCTGCTTAACATATAATAATATTATTATAATTCATTTTTTTTTTATTATTCTTAAACTTATTTAAGCAAGTTTTTAATAGTTATAGAGAAAAGATTAATTAATTATATAACAATCAATTATAACAGTAGCCTACTAATCTAATGGTAATTAAATAATCTATATTCAAATACTAGTATCCTCTCCAACTACCAGAAAAACAATTCAACTACTTGAGGCCTAAACAGATTAACAGAATCATATTATACTGTAGCAATCAAAAATATTTAAAGTATTAATTGTGACCATTGCACCTGTCGGCTACTCTTTTACCACTTGAAAACACTCTATATCATAAGCACAGTTAGCTCAGAGGTAAGGCGTGAGGCTCACATGTCGAAGGTACTGGGTTCAAGACCTGTCCCGGCCATAAAAATTTTATGTCGTTTTATTTCCAAAATAAGTTTTTATGAACTATTTAATCAATTTACTCAACTCATAATTATGCTTTTCATACAAAATCTTTATTATTTTGTGTTTTTTATGTTTATGCCCAATGGGATGGTTGGCCCTCCGCAAAAATTGGTTGGTTGGCCAACCGTAAGACTCTGAGTGCCAAAACATACCGTTGGCCAACGATCGACTGAAACGTTGGGCCAACGATTTGCCAACGATTTTTGCTACTTGGGTACAGTGTGCAATTTATCACTCTTTGGTATTAATACAGAGGACAATCGTAGTTCACAAAAATATTATTCTATTTGCCCAAAATAATTTTAAAACTTAGTAATACAACACCTATTTTTTAAGATGTCTACCAACAAGAGTAACCGGACATAATATTACTACTAAGGCCAGGGACACACTTACCGGCAAAACCGCCGGACGCCGATCCGGCGGCGCCGGAGCATGTTGAGATATACAAGGAAGGCATGGGGCAGGCCACACTTCTCCGGTTCGGCGAATCTGCCGATCCGGTGGGAAAATGCTCCGGCGAAACCGCCGGATATTCTCTACCTTGCCGGACCGCCGGATCGGCGGTTTCGCCGGATCGGCGGTTTCGCCGGAGCAGTGGGTAGCGGGGCATTGTGCCTTATGGAGATGAACACACTTACCGGCGAAACAGCCGGGCTGGGTCGACTGTCCCCACTCCTCAGTCGTGGTTCAACCCTCGAGGGTGGTGATTATTTATGATTTTTATGCAGTGTCCAAGTGGTGTATTTAGTTTTGTTTTGCTATTTAGTTAATTTAGTTGTTTTTTTTAGTTTGTTTATCTGTATATCATCATGGTAGATGTTGATATGGATTTACTTATTAGTTTGGTTCATGAGAAACCAGAACTTTGTGATAGGTCTTTGGAAATTTACAAAGACAAAAACAAAACGAGGGACAGCAGCAGCTGGCGACAAATTTGTGCCGCACTGAATTCAGCCTTTCCAGCGTCTCATGTAAATGTTTTGTCCTTGTATTTGAACTGTAATCTTCGATAGTAGCACGTTGAATGAGGGGACAGACATTCAAAAATAATTAAAAACTTATTTTCTTCATTTCTCAACTGTAAAAATAGAGTGTAAAAAGCTCCATGTAGCTGTCTGTTCTCAAGAATAGGATGCACCCAAACAGTTCGGTGGTGTTTTCTCTTCCTTCTGTGGTGGATCAAACACAGCAAGGCCAACTTTTGAGGTCTCGGCAGTACCATTTTTAAGACTAAACTGTACTAGTCTAAGACGAAACTGATTCAGGGTTCATTGCACTTTATTTATTGTCGCCGGCTCCGGCAAAATAGTTTTCGCTGGAACAAGTGTGTTCTGACCCTCAACCTCCGGGGGATCCGCCGGATCCGGCGCTCGGCGGTTTCGCCGGTAAGTCTGTCCCTGGCCTTACACATGAAGATGATAAAATATACAGTGATAGAAAAGTCCCGGAACGGTTAAATATTTTAACAAATAATGCAGATAGAGCTAAAATACTTGGTACAAAGTTACAGGGCATAAAACTCTATTTTAACACATATTCTGTGATCCAATAATTCTTCAGGGGGACGGCCCACAAGGAGTCGGAAGAAAATCTTAAATGGAAGCATAGGTCAATATGCACATCAAATTAAAGGTATATTTTAGTACAACACAATGCCGCAAACCGCACTTCAAAAGGTTCATCCTGCGCAAAATGGCAGATGTTCAAAGATTTCTTGAATCAGCCATTTTGAATCTTTGAACGACTGCCATTTTTTACTCAGGCATTCTTTTGAGCTTGAATTTACGGCATCGTAATCTAAAAGTGAAGACCTTTAATTTGATGTGCATATCGACCTATTCTTACGTTAACAATTTTCTTCCGATTCCTAGGGCTGTCCCCCTGAGGAGAAAGCATATAATACCATGTAAATTAAATGAATCTTTGAACAACTGTCATTTTGCGCAAGATCAACCTATGGAAGTGCGGTTTGCGGCATTGTATTCTACTAAAAAAGACCTTTAATTTGATGTGCATATTGACCTATGCTTCCATTTAAGATTTTCTCCTGACTCCTTGTGGGACGTCCCCCTGAGGAGTTGTTGAATCACTGATGTGTTAAAATAGAGTTTTATACCTTGTAACTTTTTACCAAGTATTTTAGCTCTATCTGCATTATTTTTTTAAATATTTAACCGTTCCGGGACTTTTCTACCACACTGTAGAAGGGGGTAATGTATAGCCTATGACTATGAATAAATGCTGAATCAGTATACTGTTATGCAACTTATAAATTTTAACAAAAAACCATAATGTTAAACACTTGAAGAGATGAAGGAAACATCCAAAAGTAGAGAGATTATAGTTAAAATAGGTATTGTGTCATCTGTATAAGCTTCATGGTAACAGATTAGGAACAACAGCTTAGGTAGCATTGTTGTATTGTTGGATCGCGCCACTATGCTTTGACCAACTATAATCATCACTAGGTGTCATGATATTGTAGTAGATTTCAATATAACTCCTTTGGTGTAATATTGCTTATCCGTTTATGGAGGGTTTAATTTATGACTACTCGTAAATGATTTTCATGTAACCCAAAAAATTATTTCATTTAATGACATTGTTAAATACAAATAATAAGGGTATCCATGTTATCCAATATAGGCTATTTATGATATATGAATAAGGCTTCTTTTTAATGCCAATTGTTTATTAGGTCTGTTATGACCTGAATGGAATACATGAAGGAAAACAAGGTTTCTGTGGTAGTGGTAGGATTGCCATTGAAACTTAAGTCTCACAACATTTTGTAATGTTTTTAGAGACCTTTTACTGTCACTATTAGTTTTATTACATCTTTTAAGAACTTAAATCACTTTTCTAACAAAACCAGTGTAGCATTATGATGATAGTTCACCACACTTAACTTTATTTTTAGTACACAAAGTAAACTAAACATGATTTGATGTTATAATGATTGCGGTTAATAAAATAGAAAAAAACCTCAGTGCAACTGTTGAGTC